AGGCAGTGGTGCTCAGTATCAGTCCGTAGTGAGTCCTGGGCAGACAAAACCCTCTGGGCTTGCGTGTCAGGAACCTGAATCTGACATAGTCCCCTAACGATAGCCAGAGAAAACATAAGCCTCAGAGAGCAGATCAGAGCTTTGCTCTCAGCAGCTGGCCCAGGACTGAGCTGAACCACATCCCTCTCCTGAATTCCAGTTCCCTGTCGGTTCAGAGAGCACACTAATAACCCACAGTGCTCTGGGGAAGCCCAGTGGGGTCAGTTCAGGTAAAGACTCACTCCCATGATCCCTCAGTGCTCAGCTACTGTGCATCCTCTGCCTTCCAGGCAGCTGTAAGAATCGTTTCTCTGGGCCCATCTCCTGAAAAAAAATGTACCCAGAATTCCTGAGAAACTGTGGCTCTTAGGCATCACTGTTTTGAAGACTGACTTTGCCCCAGCACACAGAGACGGCTTCTGGAGATGATGCCATGCTGGGCACTTCTGTCAACCCTCCCAGCTGTTTAAGACAGGGTGCCCTCGTGACTGTTTTTTTTTTCTATGAGAAACCTTGCAGATCAGGGGAGTTCTCCGGGGGAAGCATCAGGGACAGCTGTAGCCATCACATAGGGCCTGTTATCAGCAGTAGCAAAGCCTTCATATGCGACATTATATACACAGGTTGGCTCTTGCAGTTGCCAGTTCTAAGTACCCATCTGTGTGGTGGTGTGGTGCTTGTCCCTCTCCTCTCCACCTTGCCTCGGGAGCCGGAGTTGAAGCTACAGAGATGAGAAACGTCCAACTTTCCCTTTGCTGTGCAGGGGGCTGTGGTTCTAACAAAGCACCTGTTTGCCTTTACAGGGCTCCAATCTTAGAGACTGGTATAGTGTTTTACCCATAATGCATTAAGGTCTGTAAAGTGCTTAGTGGTCAACCAGGGCATAGCACAGAGACTATAGTTACTAGTAGTAGACTCTTTCTAGATCAGGAAACATTGGTATACTGCACACACATGGTAATTTATGAATATAAATTTGACTCGAGAATTAATATCCGTTAGACATCTGATGGTATATAGGTGGAGTTTGTGACTATTTCACACACTGAATGGAATCTGGTTTCTAACTGGGGAGACCAGGCCTACAGAAGCACAGGATGCAGGATTACTCTATGCTGCACAAAGTCTTTCCTGAGAATATGAGGCCTCTTTTGGGGAGAGAGCTGTACCTGCCCCAGCTCAGGGTATGCATGACTGCTGGAGGCAGAGGCAGAGGAAAAGGGGCACCATGTTTTCTATTTAGATTGTGGGTACAAGACGTGTTATTTCAGTTCTCAGGTGCCCCACTTTTTCTTGCTCATCCGATGGAGAAAATAATACCCGACCTATTTCAGGTTTGTTTTGACTATAAAAGAAAAATCAATACATATGGAACACTAGGAAAAATAACACCCCATAAATATAAGCTACTCAGATGAACTGTCCTTGGCCCTGACAGCCCACCCAGGACACAGGGGAGCAGCTTGCTCCGGGCACGTGTGCACCTGTTCTCTGTTGCTGTGAGAAGTTGTCTTGTACAGAAAGGAGACATGAAAGAACTTTGTAAATTGGGGTATTTGGGTTTTTTCCACTTGGCCCCAATGCTGTTAGCCCTCTCGCAAAGTGAAAAAGAAATGAAGACTTTAAGAGAACTCATAGGCCTTGAAGCTCTGTAACCGCTGGTGTGATCCACATACATCAGACAGAATGTTCCTGGCTGTGATGATTCACCTCATTATGCTCAGGGTCGGAATGGGTTAACTAACAGGCACACATGGGGTCTGTGGCTCGCTCTCTGATGAAAACAGAAGGTGGGAGTGGGCCAGTTCAGGGTTAAGGCAAATGAGCCCACTGCAGGGTTGGTGTTTCTGATCGCAGGACTGCTGTAACCTTCCTGGCACTGGGAGGGCTGCTGGGGCCTCTACAGCACCTCATTTGCATGTGTGTCCTTGAAAACTCTGTACTCCAGCCTTCCTCTGAGAACAGTTTCAGGAGGGGATAGACAATTGATTCTGAATAGTGCTAAAGAGACAGCTTTCAGTATACACTTCTTAACACCCAGGAGGTTCTAAACAACATTTAAATTATCCCTTAGGTACACCTGAGAAAGAATGCAAACTCAGTTTCCAGAAAAATTTACCCACCGATTCTCCCATCGGGTCATTCATCTTCCCTCACTAGCACTGTTAGTCAGACTTCCTGTGACCAGGGACACTGTTTACTTTGTTCAGTAGTAGTAGTCACCACCTGAGGCCATCAGGCCGTGAAGACTGGCTACTGAGGCATCAGAACTAAATTTTACACTTGATTTTACTTTTACTAATTAATATATATTACATATCATATATATCAATAGTCCCCATGTGTTTAGGGGCTTCTGCCTTTGACAACAGTACACAGGCAGAGGGAAACATATCCTAGGTATCTGCATGAAGGTGAGGGAAAGTGAGGAGGGGGATAAAGACAGATAAAGTAGCTGTCTTTATCATCAAACGAGCTTTTCATAGGTCAGCGTGAAGCTCCTCGAAATAGTCAACTCATAACCAAGAGAAGGCAGACTCATAAAGGCATACTCTCTGACTGTCTCCAACATACACTGGATTTTGCTGTGTACTGTCTTTTACATAAATTCTGTGACAAGAAATTCTGTAACCTATAATACAGAAACTCTGGAATTTTTTCCACAGCATCCCCATGTTCCAGGGACTGTGAGTAGTGGCTGGTCCTTCCCAGTAAGTGCCTTGTCCAACTTCTACATAGTAAAAAGAACTTGTTCCTGAACACCTTCATCACCTTTATTTATTATCATGGTGTGTGTGTGTGTGTGTGTGTGTGTGTGTGTGTGTGTGTGTGTGGTGTGGAGTGGTGTGTGTGTGTGTGTGTGCGGGTGTGTGTGTGTGTGTGTTCCTGAACAGGGTATTTCACAGGCGCTGTAAGTGCTAATGAAACAGGTACTTGATCACTGTCAGTTTTCTAGGGCACCACACAGTGCAGGGTCAGGTGTAACTAGGGACTTAATAAATGCTTCTTGGTAATGACCCAAAGGACTTTAGCCTCAGTGGGTCGTACACAGCCATGCATTTTAAGGTTCTCATTTCCACCCTAAGGTATTCCAGAAAACAATGTACCACTGCCTTTGTAGGACTGGCTAGGGGGAGTAGATTATGATTGGTTATTTTCAGAAAGGACTTCAGAATTAGCCATGTATTTTTGAGGTTGAAGCTACAATTATTTGAAAGCTAAGAAAACAGTCTTTAACTCATCAGGTAATTGCATGATTGGCAAAAAAAAAAAAAAGATAAAGATCACAAGATAAATACATCTATGGTCCTAGGGTTCTCACTAGTGAAATAGAGAATAAAGGTCCTTGATCATGCAATACTTATACTATGCTCTGAGAAGGCCTAGGAAATACAACCAGCAGTCAAGGAGAAAGACATTTGTAGCCTATCTAATATTGCTAGCCGCTACCCTGTTCCCACTGGTCTCTACCAGCTTCTAGGGGTCTCCTTGAATGTATATATTTTCTAAGATGATTGTGAAGCACAGTTATTCAATCTGGGACTGAAGAAGTAGGTTAGTGTTAGTATTCGTCTCCAATCAATGTTTCAGGTAAGGATAAATCAAGGAACAGAATGAGTGGCTCTTTCTTGTTCAGGGATAGATAGGTTGCACTCAAGCCCCTATGTGCTAAGTGAACACTCGACCACTGAGTCTGAGTCACACACCCAATCCTCTCCCTCTTTCCAAGGCAAGAAGTATAGAGCAAACAGTATTTTAAAGTAGTGGTTCTTAAAGTGGGGTTCTGGGAGCAGCTGCCTCAGCCTCACCTGGGACCTTGTTAGAAATGCAAATCATTGAACCCCACCCTAGCCAGACCTACTCAAGCAGAAACCCTGGGGCTGGGACCCAGCCATCTGCATTACTAAAAAAACTCCACATGACTGTGTGTGCAAGAATGTTGAAGAAACACTTTTTTAAACCAAAATTGAGACAGTTGCATGAAATGAATCTCCCCAAAGTGCCAGGTCTTTCCCAAGTCTATAAATAAGGTCTGAACAAGCCTTAACATTAACAGTTCCCACTTCTGAGAGCTGAGCACACCCCCTTCTACTCTCCAGGAGGCTGGGGCTGGGGAGGGCAGATGCTTCAGAGCTAGCCCCACAAACTCATCTGCTTCCCAGCATGAGATGCAGGAACATAGAAAGGGGACACAGGGCAAAGGATGCTGAAAATCTTTGAATTAATAGATTTAAATGAAATCCATCAATTTTAATTCTGCACTCTTTGAAGCAAACCCAATATTTAGGACTTTCAAATCATCATTTCACAAGCAATCATCAAAAGAAAATGCTTAATTAAAAATAAATCTTTTCAGGTCACTGCTTGCTGGCAGCACAACTCTGCATGTGTTGGTTGACAGAGGGAGGGCAGCACCGGAAACATACATTGCTGGCCCCTGTGCCCACATGCTCATTCCTAGCTCCTTGACCCCTCCTCCCCCAACCCGATCTCGCAACACATGAACTCCTGGCTTTTAGTCACAAACACAAGCACAATTCCAGATTGTAAGGGGAATTATTGAGATCTTATTTGTTCAGATGATCTTAATGTTTTCAAATTCTATTTGACAGTTAGAGACAGACGTATTTTTTTCTACCCCAGGAAGGACAGAAAATTATCACAGCACTAGAGGCCGATATCATTTTATGATATCCCCCACAAGACAAACCTCCATGCAAAGAAAAGGGCAAGTCCCCTCGGTAACTTTTCTCACTTCAGATTGCAGTGCTCATCACGACCTATTCCACCCACATAGTCATGTGCCATAGCAGTGCAGACTGTCTCCAACATTTCAAAAGCTCAACAGCTATTTTTAAAGCCAAAATACAATCTAGGTTGCTCTTGTATAAGCCACTTTTTAAGGAAAAGAAAGAAATAACACGGCAATTTCTATGTATGTGGGCAGTTAACCAACTCACCAAAAGACTGAATGCAGCTGTCAATAAGATCATCCAGGCTGGCTCCTTTGGCCAAATGTCCCAGGGACACCATCATTCGGAACTGGGTGATCTGGGCCAAGCTGGGTTGGGCAGGGATAGGGCTGTTGACTGATTTGGCCTCTAGTCTTGCTTTAGGGCCAGCTCTGGAGCCATGGGAAGGTTTCCTGGGTGGGGGAGAGATATTCCAGTTAGGACATTCACAGCAGCTGGGGTCTCACTGGCAGCTCTAGGCTCTGAAGGCAGAGGGAAGAGGAGTTAGGGCAATGAGTCCCTGAAGCTGGGCTGGTAGAAGGCATACCCCTCCCACTTGGCAGAAGCACTGAACGGACTGGTTGGCTGTTAAAGAGACATCTCCCCAGCAAATGACAAGGTGAGATTCCAGGGCAGCAACAGCTTTCTCCCCACTGGTAGAAGGACTACTCTATGCTGCCGTCTCTCTTCCAGAAGGAGAGGGGCAGAGGGAAACTGGTGCCTTGGCATCCCTTGGCTTCTAGATGCTAGACTGCTGACCTGGGGTCTCAAGGACTGGTTCAGTTGGCTTCATTTTCAGCTAGTTTCATTCATTTGAGCAATGCCTAAGATGCCGGAGGGCAGGGGGCCTCAGAAACACTTTTAAGAACCTTGCAGGAGAACCCAAAGACTCAAGGGTGGGAGAAAGTGGGAGTTACAGTGGTGGCATTTAAAGTTTAGAGCCATCTCAGCCTTTCTTGCAAACCTTGGTTGGTTTAATAAATAGTTTCATTTTTGATAACACAAGAAATCACTATGAATCATTCATACCAGTGAACATTCTATCAAGCCCTTACTTGGGTCCTTAATGAAGAGAAGGGTAGGGGGTTGACTCTAAGCTGAACTGCCTGCTCTAGAGCTGAGTGTAAAACAGCTATTTGTGCCTGGATATGACTTAGGGATCTGTTGGATCTTCATCTACCATGCTTAGCTTCACTGGGCATGACTTGGTTGATACAAGTGATTCTGCAAAGTGTCTACACAATGTGTTTTATTTCCCTTCACTAAAAAACAGAGACCCATGACTATAATCTTTGAAGGTTCAATGATGAGAGGTGTTGTCGCTCATCACTTTTTGGCATATATTTAGTTCTCTTTTTCCTGTTGCACCTTTGGCTAACTCCCAGTTCACTGTCAAAGAGGAAACATAAAAAAACACTCTAGAACCATAACATGTATTATAAGCATAAACCGGCATAGATCAACCAAGTACTTATTCCACGAGTAGGACATGGCAGTAGGCTAGGAGAGACCACAGTAAGATAGCCTTTGTAATCACTCTGTAATTACACCACATGTCCTTTGCATGTTAATTATTCTTGTATAAAAGCATTGGGAGTTCCTTAATACAAACCCCTCTAGTAGAACCTGAACAAGACAGCTAGTATAACCAAATAACTTCTAGGTCAATGTCCAAAGAGTGCCGAGGGCAAGAAGCACGATGTTCTCCAAGGAAGGATAAGCACTTTCCAGGGACTGTGTGGAAGAGCTGCTCTGACACTGTAAAAACCTCATCCAGAAGGAACCAACTTAGTTAAAAAATAAAACAACAAACCAACAAAACACCCTGGGCACACCTGGGTTTGCAGAATTCAGCTTGCACAAAGACAGCACTCTGAACATGGGCCACAACACACAGCCAGCCTCCAGGGGGACACTGTGGCCCTTCCAGTTCTGTTCTAACTTCAGAGCATCAGTCGGTGATGTACATGTGGCTCTGTTCCAAACTGAAGTGGGACCAATAAAGTCTAGTCACTCTGGTTACTGGGAACCTGCTAGTTCAAGCCACTGACTCACAAAGAAGGATCAGGTTTGGGTTGCAGAACTCCATCAAACTCTTGGCCATTGCTGATTTTTATTCAGGCCCAGAGAGAGTCAGATGAAGTATGAGAACAAAATGGTGATTTGAAAACAGTCACAGCCCTCACACAGTGAGTTTCCATGCTCCAATGACACTGCGCTGGGATCTGCACTGTGTTTGAAGCTACAGACCAGAAAGATGTTACCATCCCATATGGAACCTGAGTCCTAAACAATCTGAGGCTATTCATATGGGGCTATCTTGGGGGACTAGTACCTGGGGTCTCTCTAGCTCTATTTATCTAACAGGCATTTTTGGAGGAGCCTGTGTGCTTATCACCACACTGGAATTGGTGAGTAGATTGTCAAGAGACTGAAAGGGTTTATTCAATGTACCACAACAGTTAGATCCTTCAGAAAGATGGCTGATAATGTAGAGGTAACCTCTCAGTTCTTACTTGTTCAGCGGGTCCCTGGAATGGTCCTCAGGACCTGAGTGTGGGTCAGTCTCTACAAAGCCCTTTTCCTAACATCCGCAGACACAAGACAGAGCTATGTCTGGCCACAAGTGCAGAGCAGGCCAGCAGCCAGCTTCCTGAACACTATGCCACACTTCCTAGCTTGGCTTACTTCCCTTCCTAGAAACAACCACAACCCGGTCCAGTGCTGAGGGATTGGGAGGGCAAGGGAAAACAGGGAAAGGAAGGCATTAAAAGCCAACAGCGCCCTATGGGTGACGAGCTCACTCTCTGCCCAGTCTCTTGACTGCTTGCCCTGGAAAACTCTCAGATCATGTTTCCCTCTCGTCTTTCTTTTTAAGAATATAGTTTTTAAAAAAAAAAATAACTGTTTTTGAGACAGGGTCTTACTATACACCCTAGAGTGGTCCAGACCTCGCTACCTTCTATCAGCCTTCTGGAGCTGGGGTTGCAAGAATGCCTCATTACATCTGGTTAAAAACAATCCTACCACCCTACCAGGGAGCATCTAAAGGAACTAAAAGAGACAAACTGTTTTCGTTCATGATGTCAGGGACCAAACCCAGGGTTGTCACGTGTAGGGCAGCTTCTTCACTGAAGGACACCCCCTCCAGCACCAGCTCCCTCCCCCCACCTCCTGGTGGAAGGGTCATAGGTAAGGATTTACACCAGCGGTTCTCAACCCTCCAAATGCCATGACCCTTTAACACAGTTTCTCATGTTGTGGTGATCTCCAACCACAAAATTATTTTGTTGATACTTCATATCTGTGATTTTCCTACTGTTATGGATCGCAATATAATACACGACATGGGGAACATCTGATATACAACCCCAGGGGGTTTGAGACCCACAGGTTGAGAACCATTGATTTAATAGTGCTTTATTATAGGAAGTTTCGAGAACATTTTCACCACCCACAGAACGAACAGCTGCTAATTCTACAAAGGCGTATTTTAAAGGGCAGTAGACACACATTTCCAGTTTAATTTGTAAATTAAATGAAATAAACCAACAACAAAATCTTGAAGATGTTTTCTCAGTCCTACAGTGGCTAGAGCAACCCCCCCAACCCTGACCCAGGGGAGCCTGTTGAAGGAAGTTTGAATTGGTTTGGGGGACTTGGTCTCCAGACACAGATACCCACAGGACAAGGGAGAGTGGGAGACATCCCATGGTCTGCTTAGAAGGAAAGACGACTTTCACTGGCCACTTCCGAGTGCACCTTCCAGTCCTGCCCCATGCTCCCCACGACGATACAGAGATAATTTAATGGACAGACCCACTGCAGTATAGTGCAAAGGAAGCACCCGGGATGCCATGGCCCGGCAGGGAATTAGAATGGCCATAGTCACAGACATAGATCGGGCATGGTGCGCTCACATCTGAGTCCACATGAATGGCATGGTGAAGGTACAACCTACTCAGGCCCAATCAAGGCGAAGCGGTGTCCAGACTGCTGCGGGTTTCTTGTGCTTTGAGGGCAAGCACTACATTCCTTGACCCCCTACGGCCCCTTATTGCTTCCAAGAGCCGGACTGTTCATAGCCACTCTTCCCTCACTTTCTGTCATCCCAGAATTCCCCCAAACATCTCTCGAGAGTATTGGGGGAGGAGTGCAGACTCACAGACCACTGATTTGGAAACTTTTTTTTTTCTCACCGGGCAGGCAAGAACTGCCACCTCCGCTTGCAGCCCTGCCTGTGGGTCGCTCCAGAAAGGGCTGGAGAGACCACCAGGTGGCGCTTCCCGTGCCCCGCGCCCGCAGCAGGTGCCAAGAGCTCAGAAAGTGTGCCAGTGGGAGTTCCGGGGGTGACATGCCGAGGAGCACCCAGGGAGGTCTACTGTTGTGGGGCACCGTGAAGGGGAAGGCCTGGACCCAGACCACTCCAGATCCGGCCAGGCGACCTGTGACCTCGCCACCCCAATAGCCCCTACTCTGTCTTCCCTCCTAGCCCAAAGTGCTGGGTTCCAGAGGTGTCTGCCTCACACCTATTCTCCCCCGACGTTAGTCTAGACCCGACTCCCGGGTCTCCGGCCATGGTCCACCCTGGAAAGCAACTGTCCTCGGAAGGAGTCACCTGCTCCTCCGATCCAGCGCCTTACCCACCGGGAGAGGACCGCGGGGACACAGCTCAGCTATCACCCCCACTAAAGATGCCGAGCTCCCCGAGGAGCCACAGCTACTTACCGCGGAGCCTCTCTCGCCTTGCCCAGGGTGCCCATGGCCGCGGCGTGCTGTTCTACTGGAGCCGTCTCACCTGGAGCGGCGGGACCGGCTCGGCGGAGTGCGGCGCATCTCTTGGCCGCCGCCGGCCCTCGCAGCCCGGCGCCGGCCACTCTTGGAGCCAAGCGAGCCGACCCAGGCGCACCCGCAGGCACAAAGTTTGTGCAAGCGCGCTCCCTGCGCTCGCTCTCGTGTGCGCGCGCACTCTCTCGCACCAACCACCTGACAGGCGCTGATGTTATCATCAGGCTGGAGGAAACGTGGGGCGCCCTCAGCACTTCTTCGAATCCTGCCCCCATTACTTGGTAGCGCCCCGAAGAGGGCCTGCGCCGCCCTCGCCTCTCCCTTCCCGCCCACCGTTCATCTGTCCCAGCCCAAAGGTTAGGTCTGAGGGGTGCAGAGTGAGCTGCCCTGAAACTGACCGAGCTAGAATCTTGCAGAAGAGTTGCTTCCACCCAAGGCCTCGGGTCCCCTGGGGGGTCTGCTGCGACCCCTTCCCGGATCACAGGACTGTCTTGTATGTATAAGTGAGGGCACTCACGTCGGGTCAGGGCAGGGAAGGCAGAAACCCCCTAAACCTGGGCACTTAGTTCTGTTTGGCACATTTTACAAGAGAGGGCATAGATGTGTGCACTGCATCCTAGAAGAAGTGGTGGGTGTGGAGGTGAGCTCCGGAGGTGGGATCCATGTCGGGCAAGAGAAAGCTGCTTGGAGTTTGTGGGTGTGGGATACCAGGGGAGCCAAGCGGGAGATGCAGACTAGGGGAGGTGGCTTTCTGATAGAGCCAGTGTGCCAGCAGGTGTGGCCAAGAGGGGGAGAGCTACCTACTACTTGTCTGGGGCCTGGAGATGTTAGTGACAACAGCAGCTAATGCTGAGCCAGTGCTGATCTATGTATGTGCTTCCCACACATGGCTTCGTTTAAGCCACCCCTCCAAATGCAAAGATTTAAAGAACAGCAGGTCTCACAGCCAGTAAACAGAGAAGAGAGGTGGCCCAGACTGAGATCTGCCTGGCGCCTCTAAGTCCTTGTTGGCTTGGCCTGATAACACACTCCTTATCGTTGTTATATCCCATAATCTACCCAGCCACAATGTTCTGGACTTTTAAGAACTCCTTCTGCTATATCTCATGTATTTCCTCACGTTTATGTGCTGCGTTGTCCTAGAAAAGAATTGAGCGTCATTTTTACAAGAACACATAACCTACAAAAATAAGTAAAAATAAGTATGTGGGGGGGGTTGGGAGGGGATAAGGCCGATAAAATGAGACTAGGAATGAACATTATTCTAAAAATCATGTACCAATACATACTTACACTTTAGGAAAACAGAATCCAATACACACTTGCTTCAAGTGGGCCAGCCAAGCAGTCAAGTCTAAGAGGGAGGCCTGCTCTCTAAGCAATAGTGGAGAGGCTACTTTAGATGCCCTTCCCCTCTAATGAGATTGATGACTACCTTAAATGCCATCCTAGAGCCTTCATTCAGTAGCTGATGGAAGCAGAAGGAGAGATTTACAGCCAAGCACTGAGACAAACTCCTGGAATCCAGTTGTAGAGACGGAGGAGTGATGAGCAAAGGGGTTCAGACCATGCTGGGAAAACCCACAGAAACAGCTGACCTGAGCAGGTGAGAGCTCACCAACCCCAGTCTGGCAGCTGGGGAACCAATATAGGACTGAACCAGGCCCCCTGAATGTGAGTGTCAGTTAAAGGCCTGGGCAGTCTGTGGGCCTCTGGCAGTGGAGACAGCATTTATCCTTAGTGGGTGAATGTGCTTTGGGAGCCCGTTCCCTATGGAGGGATACTCTCTCAGCCTAGATGCACCAGGAGGGCCTAGGCCCTGCCCCAAATGACATGACAGAGTTTGATGATCCCACTCCCCACCCATGGGAGGCCTCACTCTCCCTGAGGAGTGGATGGGAGGTGGGATGGGGGATTGGTGTGGGGCTTGGGAGGACAGGAGGGGGAGGGAACTGGGATTGGTATGTCAAATAAGACTTTCTAATTAAAAAATAATTAAGAAAAAATAGAAATGTTTCAATAATCTGCAATTCTTGTTGCGGAGACTAGGAAGAAGTTTCTCCTGAGAGTGCTCCTGAACATTATTAGGCAATGGTTGCCTCAGGGTCCTGTGGGATGAGGGCAACAGTGTGCAGGCTGGTGCGGTGAGTGCTGTCCTGGATGACTTGAGGGGTCACTTTAGTTTCTCAGAAGGATAGGATACCTGTGGTAGCTCAAGAACGCACTCACCCGAGACCGCCTATGCGTGTCTTCTGCCTATTCCCTCCTTCCCTGAACCCCTAATAATCATGCTGGCCTCATCTCCCTCTTCATCTGCTTGGCACATGAAGCCCTGCTGAGCGGGGACCAAAGGTCTCCTTCTTTGTGTACCCCCATCCTGCCCTTTAGTCCACTACTCCCGCCTTTGCTGTCTGGCGCAGATGGAGCCTCTCTAAGAGTCAGGTTCCATCCGGCCTGTCCTCCCACCCCCTGCCTGGTCATTCTTCCTCTTCTCATTCAGGAGTTCTTAATGAAGGCCCACGGACCCCTTACTAAGATGAGGGACATAGAGTGTGACTCCTTAGCAATCCTATCTGTATTTTTGTGTATATTTTCCTGGGGGAAATGGTTTTACTTCCATTGGCTTCTCTATGTGATCTACACTCCAGTGAGAATGGTTTACTTCCATTGGCTTTTCTTCAGTGAGGTGTTTTCATTTTCTTCCTTGGCTTCAACAAGACCCACAGGACTCTCTGTCTACTCTCTGATCGAGTCACATTTCCCTCTATCACTCCCCTTTTATTGTCACTTCTTCTTTGTCTCCAAAACCACAAAACGGTGTGTTTTCCCATCATCCCCACCAGAATGTGTCATAGACTTGTAACTGGCCTTCCTAATTTTGAGATTTCCTTTCTCTGATTTTTTTAATAGGTCCTTTCCATGGTTATATTACCATGTTATTTCTCAGCCTCCAGACTTTAGGAATCCCCTATTACCTAGAAAATAAAGTTTGGACACCATACCCTTTGCATTTTCATGGATGGGCCCTCTCGTCTGGTACCTAACTCGTTAGGTTGAGTCACTCCTGATGACTGCTCCTTGCTATACCCTATGAAGCACTGCATTTGCTTGTGTTTGCTGCTGTCTCTCATTTCTCCTTGCCTGGTCTACACACAACATGGAGTTAAACCCAGGTTATCTAGAATACCAGGTCACCCTTGAGGGCAGATATGGATACAGGGCATACACACCTCTCTTCAGAACTGGCCTGATGACCAGCCAGGCTTGGGGAATCTACATGACATTGCCTAAGACTTAATCACCCTTTAAAGATGTAATTACTAGATGCCTCCCCAGTGTCATGTGCTGTTCTTGCTACTGAGAGTCTGGGAGAGAACAAGACAGGCAAGATCCTTGTGTTCATGAGCTCACATGCCTAGCACATGGACAGTAACCATGTCAGCAGATAAATGAATATAAATATGTTGTGACTTCAATGCTCTCTTGTCCAGGGATTATCAACTCAGTGCCAGAATTCCTTTATCCTTATGGAGATACACCGAAGGATACCCATGGAGGCCTGCACATGGTCCCATGTCCCAGTCAAGAGTTCATGGCCCTGTAAGACAAGGCCAATGTACATGGGCACTCAGCTCCAGAGGAGAGTAGAATGGAGTCAGGTTATGTCCTCTTTGCTGACCACGGTTCTGTCCTAAAGCAGAGATACTTAGCCTCATCATTTGTGTGATTGTGATGGTTGTTCTAAGATTTGTTTTCTTGTGTGTATGTTTATGCATCATGTGTCTGCCCAGTGTCCTGGGAGGTCAGAAGAAGGTGTTGGAGTCCATGGAACTAGAGTTATGAGCACTTACTTGTGAGCTGCTATATGGGTGCTGGGAATCAAACTCAGGTCCTCTGCAAGAGTAGTATGAGCTCTTAACTACTGAGCTATTGCTCCAGCCTCTGACCCATGAATTTTTATTTTATTTTTTGCCTTCTTAATTTTTTCATATGATATATTTTGATCAGTTTCTTTCCCTCCCCCTAATTCATTCCAGATCTTACCACACTCTACCCACCTAAATTCATGTTCTTTCTCTCTATTTTAAAAAAGGAAATCAAAGCAAAAAAACAAGAAAATAACAAAACAAAGAATCACACAAAAATCATGGCATCTAATCTTGGGTTGGCGGTCTACTCCTGAGTGTGGTTATTAGACTCAGTGCACTTTACTGGTAAAAACTGATTTTTCTTCTCCCAGGAGGTATCAATTGCAAATAGTTTCTTGGTTAGGGGTGGGTGTTTGTGCCCACTTTCCCTTCTGTCCTGAGAATGTCCTCTGGCTTGAACTTGTGCAGGTATTACGTGTGCCATCATAGTCTCCATAGGCTCACATATGTGTCAGCTTCCTTGTGTCTGGAGGATGCCCTTTCTTTGGAGGCATCACTATCTCTGGCTCTTACAGTCTTTTCACCTCTTTCACACAGATCCCGGAGTCTTGAAAGGAGGACTTTGATAAAAAGATTGGGTTTAGAGCTGGGTGCTGAAAAGTGTCCCATTCTCTGCACATTGTTACTTGCAGACTTCTAAGTGCAGTACATTCTCTGCTGTGACTCACCTCAGACCAAGGCTAGGAGGGTGTCTATGTGAGAGGTGCTCACTACTTTCCTTTTGTCTTTCAGACCTGGGCTTAGAGTTGGACGTTGGGCTATGTACAACAGAGGCTTCCAAGGGAGTCTTTGTCTGGAGGAAGGCTTGGGGAGCTCCACTACTTTGAGGTGTCTTCTCCAAAGAAGCAGCGTTATTTGTTTGTTTGTATTTTAGTAGGTCCTATGTAACTCAAACTGGCCTTAAATTTGCTATGTAGTTGAGGATGACCTTGAATTTTGAAATTCTGATCCTCTTGCCTCTTCCTCCAGAGTGCTGGCCTTAAAGGCACCTACTGATATACCTGGTTTATGCAGTGTTGGTTTTTCCAGAGCTCAATCAAGCTAGTCAGCCATTCTACCAAATGATCTATTCTCAAGTCTTCAGTGGGGGTTTTATAAAGGTCATACATAGTATTATGCTAGACCACTCCAAGTACAGATCCTGAATTGGAAACCCCATTCTTGTTTTTAGCTGCTTTGAGGATTTCTGTCTGAGTGTGTGGATTTCTTTAAGAGAGTTTGGCAAATTGTA